AGTTATAATCTTCAAAGATATTACTTTAACACATTTTTTAAGTTAGGATGGAGGAGGGGAAATTTAAGAAGTCATGCTTGGCACACATGACTTCACTCCAAGTTTGGCCTCATTAGCTGGACTTTTCTACCTCAGCTGCCTTTAGACCAAGAAGAATCTTCCCTCACTTCCACCCTTCCCCCTCCCCTCCCTTCCACATACTCTCTTAATCTTTTTCCTAAACCTCTTTCAGAAGTTCAAACTACTTTCACTTCACTTGTTTCAATTCATTACCCAGATTTCATCACCTCTCCAGCTTGTACTTTTCCTCCTCTTCAAACACTCCTCCCCCATTTCCAGCTCCAGTGCTGTCTTCCATTAGAATGAAAGTAGTTTGAGGGTGGGAATTGTTTTCTTTCTTATATTTTTATCCCCGTGATTAGCCCAGTTCCTGGCCTATAACAAATACTTAATAAATAATTCCTTCAACTATCTTGGCACAGAAAACAAGAAGGGAATGAAATTAAGCAACATCAACAAAAACAAAGAAAAAAAAGATGCAAAGGTTTGGAAATGGGAAGAAAAAAAATTTATCTGGTAGGCAAATTTAGAGACTAGAATCAGGAACAAAGTCTGGGTTTAATCCAATTCAATGAACATTGATTAAATATTCTATGTATATAAGGAATTCCTAGAATTTATGAGGGTTCTTATAAAGAAAAGGGCCAAAAAGCCCCTTGAAGCATATATTTGAAATTGACAGGAAGTGATCTGAAATAGCAATGGAATACTTCTAGTAAAAAAGACTCAAAACAGATCAAACAATTTTTTAAAATTCAAAATATTTACCTATCTTCTGCCAAGTTTTTCACAAAGAATTTATTTTTGAAGTGCAGCCATATTCATCATAATTGTATAGAGAAGTAGAGAGAGCATCCGTCTAGTATCAAGAAATCTGAGAACTAACCCTAGTTTCTTGACTGGCTCATTTGGTGACACTAGGCAATTTAAAGGGTCTGAGTCTCAGTTCTCTTATCTATTAAAAGGAAGGATGTGGCCTAAATGTGAATGAGCTATTTCAGCTCTAGAATTCTACAATTCTTTGAATGTCAAATATTCCAACTGATTATTACTTACATGGCAGAGATAAAGTTTCAGAAAAATAACTTTTCAAATTCCAGCACAAAGAAAGAAAATGTAAGACTACTGCTAATCCACAAAACATGAGAAGGATTTAAAAAAAAAAAGACTCAAAAGGGTATGGACAAGAGTCACATATGATGGGCAAGAATGGATGAGTTGCAATCCCTACTAGAGGGAACATTCGAAATTGCTAAGCAGGTGACTAAGAATACAGTATCATAACAGCACCATCAGGAAGGTTAATTCTAAACAAATTATAGTTTCTGAAAATGCTCAAAACAACAAAATGGGCTTTAATAAAGACATGAAGAGGTAAAGAATCATCACATGTGAACTCTATTCCCTCTATACTGGTGGGGAAGTTCTGCAAGCAATTGGCCACAGCATTTAAACGTTATGTTACAAACAATAACTGTACCTGAAGAAATAAATACAAAAGAAATTCACCATACTGGATGCAACACAAATTTAACGGCACTCAGATTTAGTTGCAAGATCTCAGGGAGGAGAAGACTCTAAAATAATAAGGAAAAATGTCAGAAGTTTTACTTTATTTTCTCAGTATTATTTTAAATACCTCTCCTCATTCTCTCCTTCCTTTCCCAAAAGGGTGAGTATCAATTTATGTACTTATTTTCTCAACTCTTTAAAAACGTTATATAATTGTTAAACGAACACAAAGTATACATTTAATCAAAGCATGAATAATAAGATGCTGCATACCATTTCTGATATTTTCAGTCACACAACTGACAGAGGCATAAAAGGCACTATTCTGTTCACTGAATATATTTTTAAAATATCTTTTAAAATAAACCAAGACAAACTGAAAAAAAAAATTCAGCCCATTTTAAAGTTCTCCTCAAAGTGTCTTCTACGTATATGTTAAAATCCTAAGTATCTAAGACAGACGCTACTACAATAGTACTTTTGATCAGGGATCTATCCGCTGAATATCAAAAACAAGGCTAGTGACTGGACATGAGATTTCAGTAAGAGAGTCAGTTTCCCTTATCACAGTACAGGTTGGCACCTTTCAGTAATTTATGGTCTTAGAGAGCTGACTAGGAAACTGAAAAGATTCAGTGATTTATTTGCCCAGGGTTTTCCCCCAGGCCATCACCCCTGCACTAGCTACACTCTCCTTTCTCCTTCTTCACCCTTTAGTGAACCAACTCAGCTATACACTGTCCTCTTTTCTTGAGTCCCTTGTCCCCTCATGGTATCACTAATCTTGCCCTGCCAAGCTTCTGCCATGGATCACTTCCACCAGCACTGCCTTCGCTCCTAGACATACGCGCTGAAGGAAGTTGAAGAGAATCAGTAAACCATGCAGATACAGTCCACTACAAATTTATGTTACATCGCCTCAACTGGGCCCTTAAGGCAATCCTTTTATACCTTCCTAATTAACTACTATCTCTCAACTCACCCAAACATTTTTCAGCCCTCTTCAAACTTCAGATTCTCCCTGTCCCCACCCTCCTTCAGCTAAGGAACTTGCCTCACATTTTACAGAATTAACTGAAGCCATTCACTGAGAGAGCCTTCTCCACTCATCTCATATCACCTAGACGTCATCTGCCAATATATCCCTCCTTCACCCTTTCTCATATGAAAAGGTAGCTCTTCTTGCCAACTCTGAACCATCCTACATAAATAAGTGATCCCATTCCATCTTTCTTGTCTCCTCCTACTATATCATCCCCATTCTCATACAATTACCTTCAGTCTCTCCCTGTCTATTGGCTGCTTCTGTACTTCTTACAAACATGCTTATCTCTCCCTCATCCTCAAAACAAAACAAATCAAAACAAAAAAACACAGCTTACTTGATCTATCCATCCCTGCTGACTACTGTCCCAAATCTCTCCTTTTTATGGCTAAACTCCTTGAGAAGCAGGCCCTCTACCCTGGGTGTACCTACTTCCTCTCCTCTCATTCTCTTCTTAAGTCTAGAATCTGGCTTTTGATTTCATCATTACACCAAAAATGCTCTCTCTCTTAACTGTCAAATCTAGTGGCCTTTTATCAATATTCATCATTTTTTGCCTCTGCATCATTTTTTTTGACACTGTTGATCTCCCTATTCTTCTTAATATTATCTAAGTTTTCATAATACTGCTCACTCCTGGTTTTCTTATCTACTTGACCAAATCTATTTAAGTCTCCTTTGCTGAATCTTCATCCAGGTAAAGCTCACTAAGTATAGGTAATCCCACAGGGCCTGGTACCTCTTCTCTTCTTCCTCTACACCCTTTCATATGGTGATCTCATTAGCTGCCATGGATTCAATTATCCTCTCTACACTGATTTACTTACCCAGTTCTAACCTTGCTGCTGATCTCCAGTCTCACATCTCTAACTGCCAGTAGAACATTTCAAACAGGATTACAGCAGACATCTTAAACTCAAAATGACCAAATCTGACCTCATTTCCCCCCTCAAAATCCTCCTGCCTTTTCAAACTTCCCACTTATTATCTAGGACATCATTATCCTCCCTCGCACCCAGGCTTGCAACCTAGGTGTTATCCTTGACTCTTCACTTTTTCTTACCTCTCATAGACAATCTGTTGCCAGGTCCTGTCAGTTTTGACCTTCCTAACATCACTTACTTGCCAAAAAAACCCCACAACAAATTAGGTCACAGAAAGTCAGACACAACTGAAGCAACTCAACAACAATAACAAAAAGCACTGCTTACATATGCTCTCTTCTCTCCTCAGATGCCACCCCGATAAAAGCCCTTGTGACCCCACGAGTGCACTACTGCGATAGCCTGCAGGTTGGTCTGCCTACCACACCACTCCAGTCCATTCTCCAGACAGTCTGACCAAGTCACCACGTCTGTCACGCTCAAACTCCAGCAGCTCCATATCTCCTCTTCAGACTAAACATATAGTCCTCTGGCATTCAAAGTCCCTCCCAACCTGTCCTTCCACCTTTCCTGTCTCCCCATAACCCCCATACACACACCCTCCTCTGGCCTCCTTTTCATTTTCACCTCCTGGCTTCTTTGGCTTCCTTCAAGTCCTAGTTAAAAACCAACCTTCCACAAGAAGCCTTTCCAAATCCCTCTTAATTCTAATACCTTCCCTCTATTAACTGTATGTATACTGTTTGTTTGTTGTCTCCCCTATTAGACTGTGAGCTCCTTGAAAGTAAGAGTATTATCATTTTTTGTATCCCAGTGCTTAGCACAGTAGACGGAACATAGTAGGTGCTTTCAAAATGTGTACTGACTTTTTAGAGGTTATTATGGTATTTTGGACAATTTAGCAAATTTCATTTCAACAGCAGTAACAGCCGAAAGAACTCAAAACAATGGTAAATAGTTGTGATAATACTAAATTCTTACAATGTCAAGAGTTAAAAACAAAGAGTTCCTACTAAGAAGAATGCTTTCAAGTAATTTGGCTATATGTGCCTAAGTCATTTTTCAAAATAAAATCCTCTGGGAAAAAAAATTACTAAAGTGACTTTAAGAAAAAGTTTGAAAATGAACTAGTGGTGGTTTATTAAAAAAAAAAACACAACAAGAGTTGTTCCATCTTCAATGACTAACTTAAGCATCTCAGGTTAATAAGAAATGTTCCTAGTTCCATTCATTTTTGCTTTACTGGGCAGAGAAGACATTTTTTCTATCAAGTCAACAAGCATTTATTAAGCACCAAATATGTAACAGGTACTATGCTAACCTATAAATTACAAGAGTCTCCCCAAGAACTGTATTTAAAAATTAAATTTAAAATATTGTAGCAAATATATGGAGCCCTCAATCACCACAAAATTTCTTCAATTAAATTCATAACCCCTGAAAAGAAATCAACCTAACTATTCACATTGCAAAAACCAAGTGAATGGGAAAATACTTACCACATATGTTGCCAGAGAACAATAATCTGGGCCTGGAATATGAAGAAATTGGGCTAAATCACATTTGGGAAACTAGCTAATGGTTTTAATAATCCCCAGCTCCCCTTGCTACAAGAGTCTATCTTCTAACAGATATTTTCCCATTATTGCTGTATGACAACAAATTATGGAACACCACAATCTCAAGAATAGTGCTTCAGGCAACTCAAAACACATATAACAAGCATAACACATACCAAGGCTGCAAGCTTATGCACTACGATGTGGACATATGGAAGGTGCACCAAGAACAAGAGATACCAGATAGATTTCCCAAGCGTTGTTTGGCAGGCCCCAAACTCAAGAATACGAGGAAGGCCTCCAGAGCTTGTTATAGATCCTCTCTAGAAAATTTATGGAAAGACATGAACAAGTCACACAAGCTGAAGAAGCTTGAAATCTACATTAATGGAGGCAATGTCCATATCCATAATGTCACAGGCCACTTTCCACATACCTCCCACAATGTACAGAAAAGCAGCATTGGAAAGAGGGGGAGGGGTCACAGAAGTAGTTCTGAACTGTTATTTAAAAAAATACTATACCCCAAAATGTAGAAGCACAAGGAAAATATTAATAAATAAAATTTCAAAAATTCACAGATATTTGTTGAGTACCTATCATGGTTTATAATAATAATAGCTATTATTTACACAGCACTTACTACATGGCAGGCACTGTGTTAAGTACTTTACAATTATCATTGCATTTGATCCTCACAACAATCCTATGTGCTGTTATATCTCCATGTTGACAGTTGAGGGAACTGAGGCAAACAAAGATTAAGTAGATTTCCCACAATCACACAGCCAGTAAGGGTCTCAGTCTGGATCTGAACTCAAGTCTTTCCTGACTTTTGACTCCCACTGTGTCATTTCTTTATAAGGTATTTCTGCCCAACATTACTAATCTGCTGATGTAAGCTTCAGTCTTTAACTACTCCAGTTAGTTGACATCCAAGAAATTCTCTCCTACTGTTTATTCATTTATTTCTTATTTCATAGCAGGACCTGAATAGTACATTTGCTCCCAATGACTCTATCTGACATAATCGGCACCACCTATTCAATATCTTTTTTATTTTTGAATGGGTACCAAAGGAGCTCACCTCAGCTATTCATTGATCATCCCTCACTCCTGTCACATAAGCAGCTCTTTTTCTGGCTGAGCATCAATTTCATAATACGAATTACACCACTTTTGGTGTGTAATTCTTCACTGGTCTCTGGGTGACTCACAACATTGATTTTTCAGAGACTGTGGCAGTCTATGAGTTGCTGTCATATAAAGCCACTGAACGAATAATGGTGTTAAAGAGTTGAGTCTTTCATTTCAGAAAGAAACTTATTTCCAAAATATAATCCAGGTTCAAACTTATTCCTCTTACCCAATCTGGGCCTAGTTCTGGGCCATTCTCAGTGTCTGTCCGAGATATACACATTGATACAGCCATACAAGGGTGATCTCAGAGGTGTCAAACATATGGCCTTGCAGACAGCATTTCAGGCAGCAATACTCTGGAGTACAGGCCAATCAAGTTAAAATGTAATTGGGAAATGTTTAAGAAAATAAATAAAAATATAATAGAACATAGAATATGAAGTTTTCAGTCAATATGCACCCCACAGAGATCCTTATATATGTCTTAGTTTCTAAACAGCCTTTCTTCATTCATTTGGTTTTTCCAGTAGAGATAGGTGGGCCTTCATAGGCATTGATAAAACTTTTATTTTAAAAATAAATAAAAATAAGTAGGTAAGGTCAGTGTTGTTTTAAATGCATGACATTTCTTCGCATTTTTATTCTTTCTTCCAATTTGGCATTGAATTTGATCTCTGCTGTAACAAGCTGGTGGTCAATGTATAGGAATAGCTGATTTGGAAATGACTCCTACATCAACAGCCAGTCATTTCCTGTTTAGCTGTAGTCAATTTCTTTTTACGGTTGTTCATGTTTAGTACTTAATAACATTTGGCCTCTTTCACTTCTAAATCCTCAATAATATTTTCACAAATACTTTTCACTGGCCTCCCCTATTTAGGATATCCCACAAGTTTTCATTAAATTTTAAGCCATTATATCTTAAAAGATTTTTGAACACCATGTATGTATCGTTGAATCAAAGTCATGAGGTAGTAATGTAGACAATGATTTAATCCAGGTCTGAACAAGTTCTTTATACAATTTCTCTACTTCTTGCTCTTCAAAAGACGTTGGCACATAACTTGCATTTACATTCATGGCATCATTTCTACAAATGTTAGTGTAACAATGCCATAAAATCATGATGTTTCTTGTGCTTTTAGGTATACGATAAAGCCAATTCTGTCAACTCTTTTATTTCCTTTGGGGGAGGGGGAGACCTATGAGCCATCTTTCCATTTATCTGCAATTTCCTTTTGTCTTTCTGGTCTCATTTACAATGTGAATATCAAGACTAATGAGTCATTTCTGCTAGTAGTACGTCAACTCACTGGCTGTTGAACAAAGATCTCACATTTAGGGTGCCAATGATTAATGGTTATTGAAAACTGTTAATGATTTTTTAAAATTTTATTCTTAACTTATTACCAATACAACATGCATTTCCTATACATAGTTAAACCATAAAAGGTCTGTAAGTGAAACTGCAGTTCTCTATTATGTACAGTTTCTCTTTTTAAATAAGAAATTCAACATGTAACTTGAGAGCTGTCTTGATTATCTGTTATTCTTTCTGATCACCCTTCTCTTTTCTTCTCTTCTTTTTTAAAATCAATACTTCAATGACCCTCTTTTTCTTTTTTTTCTTTTTTAGCTACCCTATCCTAACCCTCCCACCCACCTACCATCAAAAGAACAAAAACAAAACCCTTGTAACAAATATTTATAGTCAAGCAAAATAAATTCACACATGGGCCCTGGTCAAAAATGAATTTCTTTTCCTACATGTTAAGATCACAGATTGTCAGGAGGAAGGTAACATGCCTTATCATCAGGCTTCTGGAATCCTGACTGGTTACTACATGACAAATTCCTAAGTGTTTCAGCATTGTTTGCCTTTATAACATGGTTACCAGTATATAAACTATTCTGATTTTATTCTCTTCATCTCTGCATTTCTTCTTATGCATCTGTTCATAGAAGTCTTCCTAGTTTCTCTGAAATCATCCCTTCTGTCATTTCTTATGGTACAACAACATTCCTTTCATATACCATAATTTGCTTAGCCATTCACCAATTTACAGACATCACCTTAGTTTCTATAAATATTTTTATGCATAAGGGCTCTTTTCTTGTCTTTCTTTGGACTCTCTGGAGACTAATAACGGCACAGTAGAGGAAGGACTGGGCCTGGAGTCAGGAAGGCCGAGTCCAAATCCAGCCTCAGACCCTTTCCAGCTTTGTGATCCTCAGCAAGTCACTTAACTTCTGTTTGCTTCAATTTCCTCAACTGTAAAATGAGACCACAATAGCATCTATTTTCCAGGGTTATTGTGAGATCAAATGAAATATATGTAAACACAGCTCTTGGCACAAAATAAGTACTTTATAAATGCTAATATTTCTGAGTGAGAGAAGAGGAAAAGGGGAAAAGAGGGAGTTCACTGTGAATGACTTTAATTTTTTCTGCAAAACATGAGGCAATGTTCTCAGTTGAGAGGATGAGGGGAACAGAAGGCAGGGGTGGTTTGAGGAGGAATGAAAAGGTCTGAAAAGCTGCTGTGGTGAGTAGGATATGGGAAGTATAAATGGACTACCTAGAAGCAGTTGAGGTTATATAACATAAATTTGTAGTGGATACCATCAGAATGATTGCATAATTTTCTCCACCTTCATTCCAGCAGCACATGTATAAGAACTAAGGTGGTAAATGGTAAGAGTGATCCAAAGCTCAGGCTTAACAGGGTGTAACAGGTGAAATAATAAGGCACTGATTCAACAAAGGGTCAAGATGGGGAAAAGAGGAGATAGCGGCCTAGCACAGGGGAGATGGATTAGAAGAGAATTGAGGGGTCAAGCACCAGAGGTCACAGTGCAGACAAAGAATAAGGTGTTATAAGGAAAGGCAGAGGGAGAGATGAAAAGCCAATGGGCCACGGTCTGATAAAGGGATTTCAGAATTCAGAATGTGGAGGCATTTCATTTATGGGTAAGCAAGATCAAGAGTATGATTATCTTTCTGTGTAGCTGATGTGGGGCAGAGAAACTCATATAAAGTGAGACTGAGGAACTGAGTGGTTAAGGTATTTGAGGGAAAGTCAATATGGATGTTGAAGACCCCTCAATTGTGAGTCATATACCAAACTTACTGAGGAAGGAAGGGGAGTGACGGTGATCTGTAGACAAAAACTACCAAGAATTTGGATGGAAGATACAAATAGCATGAACCTCAAAGGAAAAGAGGTTACTGGGTGATGGATGTAGGGGGAAAGCCTAGAAATGTCACCGTGGAACAAAGAATATTCCAATTCTGCCTCAACCAGTGAGTTGAGGAGAATAAATGAAGGTGTAGTAAGTACTGGATAGGGTAGCCAGGGAGGCTGTCATATGCTGGGAGACAGGTTTCAACAGCATTTAGTAGACAGGAGTGATAAAGGAAAAGATGCAGAACAAAGTAAAGTTTGCCACCTGTGGAACAGGCATTTTACAGGGCACAGTGAAAAGACCAGATGGTATTTGGCTGAAATAATGGGAGGGTTGAGAGGGATAGGAATAAGATCTACATAATAATCTATAGATGTTCAGAATCACTGAGATATGAAGGGTATGACCAGGTGTGAGAATGTTCATCACTGAGTGGAATAATTCAAAATTAAAACTAGTAAGAACTGATACAATGTTACTGACAAGAAAGGATGAAAATTACATGAGTACAGTCACTTTATCCATAATAATAATGTTCCATTAAATACTGAGGAGCTAAGGATCAAGTCTTAAGGGGATGAGTTGAAGCCACTGAGGATGTTTAGCCCCAAGATAAAATGAAGTAAGGAGAGTCAAGAGGAATGGT